TCATGCATCAGAATAACACATAGGCTACTTTTTATCCTGGAAAAATGTACGGTTCCCGTGGGATAGATTTGGTTTGTTTTTCGCTAGTAGCAGTTACTGCATAACATAAAGAATTTTTATATAAAACCTACTAAAACTTTTAAACTCTACGTACAAAAAAACTTCTTAATTTAGTACGATAATATGCTTAAGTTAAAACAATATTGTAATAATGCTTGGATAAATGTACATATACTATCCTATATCACGTTTCAATGTTTAGTCTAGATTTCCTAGAGATGAGATATTTTCCCGCAGTAAAAAGTATCCTATACGTTGATCCGGATAACCAGCTATCATCATACCAAATTTCATCAAAATATATGCAGTGGTTTTCTCGTGATGCGTTCCCAGACAGACCGACAGACAGGCAGTCAAAATTTTTATAAACTGTAGAATCGGCCTCTGTATCGATAATAATGACTATTTCAATAAGATTTTCCACAAAATACTTAATTTACAGATTCGACTTGGAATTTAATTATATGTATAAATAGTACCTACCTTAATACCTATATATTTCACATGCGTCAGTCTAGTCATCGTTAACCATTAGACATTTGTAACTGTGCACTCTCTTTCTCTACTGTGGTAGTATATATGTATAGATAGTACAATATGAATCTGTATATTTTTTAACATGGATCTTAACTTACTTTAACTGCCTTCGTGGTGTAGTGGCTAGTATTTACGGCTGCACATCCGGAGGTCCTGGGTTCGAGGTCCGGGTCGGGCCAAGTTTAGTTCTTGAGTCTTTCTGTTTAGAAAGTGTTGATTCACCATCGTCCCACCGGAATATGAGAGTGTCAGGAATACATAGTGCACTTATGTCTGTGCGCAAACGCGCTGCACTATAATATCTTCTGCGCGGTTGGCTAGTCTCAATGAGATTAGCACCCGTGCCCGAAATCGGTTAGGAGGTCTTATATGATTTTATTATTTTAAATACTGACTGGGGTTGTTAAGTTTAAAACTTGTATTATTTTAAAACTTCAATAAAATCAAATAAAAAAACAATTTGTAACTTACAATTTAACCTTTAAATCTATAGGTAGATAGAAACAGTTGAAAACAAATATGTCAATATATGTTTTTACCTTAATCTTAATGTCACCACAAAATATATTTTGATCTTAGCTTATATAAAAGACAAATGTACAAAAAATATAATTTTACAAAAAAAATGATACCGATATAGAAACGTCAATTGATCCATATTTCTCAAGCTCAAAGTAACATTGAAGCTCGAATTTCATCGAGTTGCAGTTACTGTGTCAACCTTAGTCTCAGACTTATTTTACGTAATATACGGTAAGATCGAATAACTTTGCATTGCCTGTTCTCATTCCTAGGAAACTATTTTAGCCTGTTATATCTAAAAGCTGTAATTTCATATTTTGTTTCTAAATCTAATAGCTCGATCAACACTTACTTTTGCATAAATTATGAAGATACTCTCGGTAAGACTGACTGCTCTGTGGTATCATTGGCTTGCTTGGAAAAACCAAGTGAAGTTCAATGGATATTCTCATTCATTGAGTGCGAATCATTTACAACATGATTACCACTTATTACCAATTACATCTCACTGTGAAAGAAAACATTAACAAGAAAGGAGGCCGTGGCCAGCAATGGGACTTTAAAAAGGGTTGAATACAATCCCACTCAGTGGCAGTGTAAAATCCTAGCTAGAAATCTCTGTTTCCATTGTGGCGTTCGATTTATAATAGTTAAATAATTATCTTTAATAAACCACTTAATACCAAATATAAAAATAAGTGAATAAAGTTAAAATTGCTTATTCACTTATTTTTATTGGTCGTTTAAAGAAAGCTGCTTAAATAAACTAGATATTTGCATAAAATATATTAACTTGCCTCGTTAACTTTCAAAATTTAACATTTTGAATAAACTTAAAGATCCATGACTTAGATTATATTAAATTTTTAAATATACAAATAAGAGAAATATGTAAGTATTATACAGGAAACGTTTAAAGTTATATTTCAATAATTGCTGGGTGAATGGCGATTGCTCAAAATATCAAAATCAATAATACAAATGTAGTAGGCAGTGCTATTTTAACACTTGCCACAATGGGCCACGGCAATTAATATATTAGCACAAAAATATATTTTTTATAAGTGTGTATAGTTGACCTTTGTGTAATAGCTATTTTAAATATTCTTATTTAATTTATTACAAACCTATATAGCTATCGCTTACTAACCCACTCGCATGTTACGACAGTAAAAAATAGTGTAAGTACCTACCTATCCCTTGCGGACTAGGCAGAAAGAACAGAATGCCAAGCGCATCTCTACATTTCTCTACATTGCTTTTGTACAAAGAACCATAAAAGTTCGATGTCTATTCTATTGCATATTTCATATACATTCATTCACATGCAGACTCTTCAATTTCAACGGGATTGAATGGTAATTAATTATTTAGTGCTCTTTTAATAGACTGCTATTAAGAGGAGTTTATTGCAAAGTTTCTCTTTTTAATACATTTAACTTACTATCTTAATCTTATAATCTTAATTAATCTGGTAGTTAAAGTAAATCCCTTCTTAACTTAATGACAAATATTTATCATAAAATAGTACCAACAATAAAACCTACGCATTTAAATTAATAAGTACCTACCTATTTTTTTTATTTTATTCCCATTTCATTTTATGTTTTGCTATTTCACGTCTACGTTATATTCTAGATATTTTCTTTACTCATCGTGTGAAACTGTTTGTTATTTTATTTATTTGACCTTCTTTATCGCACCAATGGAAAAATGGATTGACATTATTATTTATTTAAAGATAGCTAGTGTGTTGAAAGACTACGTCCTTTTAGCATACGTAAACTCCTTTTTCTCCAGATGTAATAAGCAATTATCTTGGTATTTCAGTGGAAAATATATTTTAATGGTTCTGCAAGTAAGGACCTAGGCAAAGTGATTGTGTGACACGAGTAATAATATAAAATGGAATACTTTTTAAATAAGTTTAAAATAAGAAAGTATCACAATTAACGTGCCACATATTAAACAAAAGTAAAACTCTTATACATTAGCGCTAGTTTAAAATTAAGGTAAATATACGATGTTGTATATTAATTTCAGTGATATTAATAGCTATCATGGATTATCTCTTATATTTTTTTATAATTTACAAGAGTAATTAAAAGATTTTCCAATCGATTTCCATAAAACTTAACTCGGTTGTTATGTTAGTTCAGTTACAAAATACTGCCGCGTGTAATTTATACCTCTACTATTATCCCCTTGCGGCATATCTTTATAATTACATCGACTTTTGCATACTAAGTTATAAGTACTATTATTTATATACAAGTAATATTATAGTAAATATTTTTGAAATGTTAACACTATGTGTATACTTTTTGTAACAATATGATGCAGCAAAAAGTGAATGCCCAAAATTTTGCTCTTTGGAATGTTGCCCACACTCCGCCTAAGTGTTACCAGATCGTGTCAAATAACTAATGTAATAGTTAATTACAATATTTTTGTTACTTATTTAACTTAGTATCTTTAATAGTTAATTTAATATAGTACATAATCTTAAAATCAATTGATTTTATGCAAATTAAAACTGCAAACAAGGCATTATTTATCATCGATGTCCCTCTTAACGTCTAATTAAGATCTTTACTTTTCATTTCTATCATAGCTGACAAATTATATATTATGAAATATTTATAATTAATTATAGCAAAGCCATGTAAAAATAGCCTTTATGTGAATGACTTTTAAGATGAGTTTTAAATAAATACTGTTATTCACATTTACTTTCAATTATTGTTAACTTTTATTACGTCTTAAAAATGTTTTTTTTAACTTCCGTTATTGTATCAATTTTTATCTATATAAAGTATATTAATTACAGACAAAATAAATATTTTCATTGAATTTAAGTACAATTTATATTTTTAAAATTATTTAATTACTTATTTATCATTAAACACAAGGTTAAATAAATGCTGAGTTTAAAGTAGCTTACATAACGCTTTTTCTTTTCATAAAAAACTTATAAAGAATTTTACCTAGTTTTTTTAGAACTAGATGACATCATTCAAATTAATTATTTATACCGTACAGAAATGAAATGATAATAATTTTAAGTGAACCCAATATAAAATTAAATTTTTTTACAAAATCAGTCGGCGCCGGCCTTAATTTTAATTGTCTGTACTAACATTTCAGCCTTTACGAAACGCTTTTATTTTTATATAATATAAATGTTTCGCAAATATGTAAGAAAATAACAATAATAAAAAAAGAAAAACTGTATGTGTGAGTATTATCACACAATTAATATAAATGCGAAAGTTTGTTTGTGTATGTTTGCTACTCTTACAAGTAAACAGCCGAACGGATTACTGTTAGTAATAAAATTGTCCAAAAAGTAGCGCTGCCTGCATACATACAAAACGCATCTCGGATATTCATTTAGATTAGATTATAAATACAAAACACACTCAAGCGAAGCGAGTGTAAGTCTAGCGACTTCGACTTACCCTGGCTTCGATTTCCATACATTGTTATTATTAGTGGACGATAAATAAATAAAATAAAATTTCAAAGAAGAAAGTTAATTTTATTGCAAAAGAGATAAGTCGTAACTTCGATTTCAATATAACATTTACAGAACAATAATTACTTGACATGTGTTTTGTATTTCATACGCATGAGATGAGAAGCATCAAATGTTTAATTTCTATCAATCTACTTTTTCTCGGGCCCGTCGACAAATTTCTATCTATTGTTCTTAAGACGCGGACGAAATGCCAATGTACCGTTCCAAGTACACGTAATATCAAAGCAGAACACTCACACATGCGAATGTCAGCGAAACTGAGTATATAAGCGATGCAAATAGCAATTGCTTGCATTACCCACCACCCTTTCGTGGAGTCACTACTACTGAATCAACAGCAATGAAGTACATTGTGCGTAATATTTTGTTGTGCTTGTGTTAATTAGCAAAAAATAATTAATTGTGGTTTCAGTAATTTAAACGTTTTAAATTAGTGCTGTATTATAAATATTAAGTGTTTTATTAATCATGTTTATTTACGAAGAGTCAATGAACCACTGATCGAAATATATTTCTTCCTGATGTATCGGTTATTGTAACTATTATATTACAGGAAGCCTTTCTCGTTATATAAGTAAGCGGGGTTGCTCGTGCTTTCAGAAGAACTGGTTTTAACAATGTGCATCGATACTGATTAAATCAGAATTGATAATATATGTACCGTGAAGATGTTTATACCGTAAAAAAGCAAATAGCCTCCGTAATTTGTTCATATTAAGTAAATTATATCTTTTTTGCAGGTTTTCTTAGGGCTTTTTGCCTTGTCGGCCGCTTTCCCTGGTATCATCCACCAGGAGGCCCCACAGCTCTCTGAGAGTTATGACCATCAAGCTCTCATTGGCGAATCAGGACATCATCATCAGGTTCAACATGAGCATGCCAAATCACATCAATCTATTAAATTCGAGCACTTCCACCCAGTGCCCGTCTATGTCAAGAAAGAACACAGCCATCTCCTGAAACACCCTCTTGAGAAGGGTCATTCTGAACAAAACTTAAAACAAATTCACCCTGAAACCCAACACAGCCATGGTGGTGGCCTTGTCTTGGAAGACCATAGACTCGACACTGAACATTTTGCTGCTAGTCTCGGTCATGGAGGATATGAGCATGGTCTTGAACAAGGATCATTGGAACAAGGAGGATTAGAACACGCAGGTCTTCATCAAGGTGGCTATGAACAAGGAGGCTTAGAACATTATTCTTCTGGAAGCTACGAAGGAGGCGAAGGATTGAAGGCATACGCTGAATCTCAGCCTGAAATTCAGGGACACTACTATTCTGAACACGCTCAAGCTCTTTCAGGGAACAGCGGAGAGGGCTACAAATTCGAACACTATTAATCGCATTTAGCTTAATTCCTACGGGCATATCGGTGTACAATCACCGCTCTCTCATATATTTTTAAGATGTTCTTCTTGCCTGTTGATTAAAAGTACAGTAGGTACATAACATTTTCTAAATGCTTTTATATTAAATAATGTTTCGAATTCTGAGAAAAATGTACCTGATATATAGGTTAGACGTAAATTCGTTAAATACCCGTGAATTCTTTTAGTGGTGTAAATGTTGCTATTCTTATGGCTCTTAAATTATGACATGTATTGTATTCTGTTAGTGTGTCGTCTTTGCTTGTTTCTTATAGTATTATTGTGATTATGATAAGGGCGTATGTTGATTCCCAGTGAAATTGTGATATTAATAAATGTTGAATTTTATTTACATATTTTTTATTCTTAGCTAATATGATGACTGGCCTTTATATCCAGCTTGTTTTTAGAAAAAAAATAGGAAATACATTTTAATGTATAATTTTTAGATCGAATAATATATTCAATATATTTTTATTATCGAACCAGCATTCATTTAGTTAACACTTGAGTCGAATCATCAAGAATGGTTATACATTTGCATAATACAGTTATGTTTGTAACTGGTAAATAGGTGTCCACAGAGTTAAATAATAAGCGGTAATCCAAACATACCTATTACGTTTGTGGTTTCTCGAGCTTAACAATATAAATTTTGTTGCATAATATCGGATTTCGACCATAATATTCAATTAGGCCTCAAGAATTTTAGATTACTAATAACCTGTAATAAAAAATATCATGTGCAATATAATATAATTACTGAGATAATTCAAGTAGACAATTTAATTGTTATTTGCGAAGATATTGCCGTAGATGTTCCAGTTTCCATTTCCTCAAGTATAACAGATTTTGAAACCATATTAAAGTGAGTCAGCATGCAACTAGCGGGTGGGGATTGCGCAAATCGGTAGTTACAATTTTACTGATAGTCAATAGATTGCCTCTAATTGATATTCAGCTAGATAAAGTCACGATGCGTAGTTTAAGGGACCATTATTTTAACAATATTGTCTTGAAATATTCTATAATTGATCATTATCTTGTTACTCTTGTTATTCTTTTTATTGGTGTTGAAAGCCTTCTTTCGTTTTCACGAATTGGTTTATATTTCGTATCTTAAATTGATTGCAGTCATTCGTATGTGTTTGAGTCTACTATACTTGACTTTCATTCCTTAGGTAATTAGACGTTTGTGTAATTTAGACAATGCGTGTTTTTGGAAATCGCCACATTACAAAATTGTGCCATCGCCAAGAAATAGAAATTCTATAACTATTTACTATAGGTACATTTGATGCTATAACTATTACTAGATACCATTATGTATTCAATCTAGATTCTTTTTGATTAACATTTATATAGTCGATAGGAATTTGTTATTTCAAGTTTGCGCAATTCACGCCCACATAACAATCCATTATATACCCATAATATGTACATGATTAGTTTTATTCTTCTGATAGACGTAAGACGGCCCATATTTGAATTTACGAGGTAATTACCGGTTTTCGTTAATAATTCAAATTTCATGGTAATTTCGCTTTGTTGAAATGTTTGCTTATATTAAAATACGTTATGAAATGTAGGTAACAAAATTACATAATTAAGAAACTTGCGCTGTTCTTTCTCTGTGAAATATTTCACTGGATGACTTATACAATTTAAATAATCTTAATAGGTATACTTAGTCATACGTTTCAATTATAGCAATATTATTTTAATCATAAGTTATCATTAGAAAATTAACGCATCACGTGCTAATAACGTTGAAATAATCAAAATTCATTTTAGTTATTTATATTTTTTATTGTTAATATAAATCTATTAATTTCAAACTTTCACTAAAGATATGTACCAACATTAGACATACAATATGCTTGTTGATTTCAAAGTTGTTTGCGCAATATACAGATTATGAATTAAAAAGAAATCAATTTCTCCTTCCTAGCGGTCAATTAGATGATTTTGTATTCAAAGCACTAAACATGTGCTTTATAGGATTTTTATAGCTTTATAGTAATTTTCACAATTTTAGGTATTTTTTATTCGCACATTTGAACGTATTGTAGATCAGATGTGGTGTTATAAATCATACATTTATGTTACATTAAAAGGTTGTGTTTGTGTATGCTTAAAGCAACGGGCGGGTGTTTTTTTTTTCTTTATAACAAAGTTTAAAAGTTTCTTATGAAGGATTTACAAAATCTTAAGTGATCTACAATTCTTAACTGTCACATTTTCCAATTTAAGTTTACGTACATATGTTATACAAGGTAGTGGTATCAAGTAATAATTTTTTTATTTAATTAATATATTTTTATTTAAATATTTTTTTTATTAATTAATAAAAAAAATTAAGTAATATTTTTTTTATTAAAAAAAGTATGATCCTTGTAGAAATATGACTTAAATTTATAAAATTACCCTTTAATCTACTGTGCATCCATTAAATGCTGATAAATATTGATGATAAAAAAGAAAAGGATCCTTTTTCATTGCAATTATGTAAATTAAAATAACCTTATTAATGCTGAATACTGAATATTGCAAGAACAAAAGTATATATCAGAATTAAAATAATGGACGATTTTTGAACGAATATCATTTTGCGAAGCCCAATTAAAAGAGTATTATATATGTACTAACGGCTCACCCTCACTTCGCTCGGGTTCGCCTCTAGACAAACAAAAACAAATCTATCCCACGGAAACCGTACATTTTTCCGGGATAATAAGTAGCCTATTTGTTATTCTGATGTTTCCTTAAAATCCAATTAGTAGATTTTGTGTATTAAGCTGTATAAGTTACCATAGTTTTTTAACTATCCCATGGGAACTCCTTAATTTTCCGGGATGAAAAGTATCTAAAATGTTGACCGAGGATATAAGGTACCACCATGCGAAATTTCATTCAAATCAGTCGAACAGTTTCGGATATTAGCCCGTACAAACAGACAAACAGACAGAGAAACAAAGAATTTGAAAAAAAATCTGGATTTGTTCGATTTCTCTTCTTACATCCCCCTGATTCGGTTTTTAGTATTTTTTTTCTATGTACAGACATTCGACCAGCTCTACAGTTTTATTATATGTATAGATGTAAAATATTTTCATTTGTTATAACTAAACAATTTATTAACGATTACATATTTTATTCTAAGAAAATTATAAATAAAATATTTTAACAGTTTATATTAAGACATACACATGTATTTACACATAAAAAAATAAAAAAAAAGTCTATGAAAATTATGCTGCTTGTTTCACTGCACGAAGAGCAAAGTTTTTTCATATACGTTTAAATTTTATAATTATAGTCCTATTCCCAATACATATGTAATTACGTATATTATATTATGTTTAACAGATTTTGAATATGTACTAAAGAAAACAAAAAAAATATATATAACATAGATTAATTAAATTTTTATTCATTATTTACTTACAAAGTTTATTTACAACTACGAACAGATTTTCAGTCTTTAATATATTTAATTATGTTATTTTTATTCATATTTATTACTTATTACTGGAATAGGAATATGCTTCACAATCTCTAGAGGTACCGGGTAAGGATGTGGTACTTTCACTTCGTAGGGCTCAGGCACCGGGATAAGGACTGACCTAGGTACTGATACCTTCACTCTTTCCAACACAGGAACTGGGTGGTGCTTAGTGATCCTGATTTCTTTGTGAATTAAAACAGGTGGTCTTTGTTGATTGTAACGTTCAGCTTCAGAAGTAAAACCCTGTTTCTCCACATTAGAAGCTTCCCTTATAATATTTTCAATTTCTTTTTGAATATCTGATTTCTGTTCTTCCTGATTCCTGGAAACCGATTGCCATTGGATTTCCGACCTTTCATTTTCATTAGACGCTTCTGGTTTTTGGTTTTCACTAATAATGACGGATAAACCTCTCAGCTGAGCGAGCTGAGCTTTGTTATTCAGAATATTCCAATGTTGTTGTAGTTGCTCTTGTAAAAGAGCTTCTTCTTGTTTCTTAGCAAACTCTGGGTTGAATTGGATCCATTGAGAGTCTTCGCGTTCTCGTTCTTGTTGGCTTTTAATTCTTTGTTGATGTTCTTTATCGTTTTGCTCCGAGTAAAAGTCGTAAGCACCTCCACTTTCATTTTGATTCTCAAAAATTGGCTTGCTTTTAGAATCTTGTAGCTGCTCTCTGTTCTGATTCTGTTCTGATTCTAATGTCTTAAAGTACTGCTACCATGCTTTTTGTAGTTGTTCGTCGTTGTAATCTTGAACATATAATTGTTGCTCTTTTTGATTTTCATCGTTTGACTCTTTATTTTCTACACGTTTTGCTGCTTGCAACGCCTTTATTTCATTAGATGTAAGGTACAAAATTACTTCTTGTGTTGCATATCTTTTATTAGGACTTTTAGATGGCCGGATGGACGGAGCGGGTCCTTTTTGAATTTTGGGTCCTGATTCTAATTGCTTTGTAGCACATAAAGCTACTAAAGCTATGGCTAAATATATCTGGAAAAAAGGTTTTAAATAAAAAGTGATGCATTATATATTTAAAGCAATAAAATTTAATATATACAAATCTCGTTTCACAGTGTTTGTGGTCGCACTCCTCCGAAACGGCTCGACCGATTTTAATGATTTTTTTTGTACATTTGGTAGGTATGAGAATAGGTCGTAAAGTATTTCCTATTTCCTCCTACCCCCACCCCCATTTTTTAATTGAGATTTTAATATTTTTGTATGAATAATATTAAATAAGCACATAGCGACGAACCCGAGCGAAACGAGGGTGAGACGCTGTATAACATAAAGCCAAAGAGTTTTTTTATAGATTGAACGCAGGCGTAGCCGCGGGTTTTGATAATAGATTTATTATATATTCTATAACTTTTAATGCGTTCATGCTTTACTTAAAACATAAATACTTACAGAAGACTGCATCATTGAAGCTAACGGCACTCTTCGATTGGTGCAGGTGGATATCTGTTGTAAATTTCAAATTGATGACTTTTTTATACTTACGAATTGTAAACATTTTCATAACAATCTAGTTTAAATCAATATAATATATAATTAGAATAAATTATTTATATTTCAATTTTCTAAACTTGTGTTATACAAAAAAAATATGTTTATTATACGATTCGGCCTTCCTGGCAGTATATGAGTTTCTAGTATAATACAAGCAATAATTCTAATCAATAAAAGAAAGAGTCCAATGTATGTGCCGCTAAAACTCAGAAACGAGTTCCGGTATGATCAAGGGACTTTCTGGAATGTTGTAGAATGCTTGGGAACATCTCGGAATATCCCAGATCACTGTGAAACATTCTAGAATACTCTCGAATATTGTGGAATGTTCTGGAATGTTGTGGACCATTCGAAGCCGTACTTGTACGGGTGGGGCTACCCATTGATAGGGGTATATAAAGCAAGGTCCATCGTGGGTTCGAACCTAAAACATTGCGGCATCAACCTCAAAGATTCCTGCTTTTCTCACGGTCAACTATGTGTTGCTTGTTCTCGAGTAGGAAATTCGAAAAATTTGTATACATATATACCCCGGGTAATAAAATGAAAAATATTGCTTTTAAACAAGGGTTATAAATAGTTAGAATATGTTTTCAATAAAAAATGTTTACCTCTTATATTTTAAAGTTGATCCTTTTATTCCAACTACCACACAATCTCATATCCACTCCCTGAGCGAAGTCGAGTACCCCAGCTAGTAATAATACTAAAATATACTGTTATACAAAGTATATATTCAATTTATGGTTTATATTATATTTAAACTCATTTACATGTGCAGCGCATGTGCAAAAACGGGTACACTAGTACTGTACGGATAGACTCTCCTCACTAAAACCTACAACTGAATTCTATCGCCCCAGTGCAAGCGTTGCAATATCGCTTGTGCACACACCGCAACACCCCCGTACAAATATATATTACTTTTTTCACACTCCAAAAATAGCGGTCGTATGCGTTAATGTGGGACTCAGCGGCCATAAAAACCAATACCATCCACTGAAACACATCGAAACCAACCCCGGCATATTGGGTCGTCTCAGAATCGCTTACGCACTCAACAGCGATGCTCCGATATATATCTGTTTCCTCGTTCAACTAGACTTTTGCACTACATAGATTTTATAAAAAAAAACATAAATGTTTTTGATTTGCCATACGTACACTGTTAGTTCACGCACCAAGTCGTAGTTACAAACGTATGTTAATGCATAAATACCCTATGTATTTACCTGCATTACATTTAAGTATAAAATGAAATCATATCATTTCAATCGGGCTACTATTATTTTGTGTGTATATGTGTATGTATGTACATATATTCATACACATATGTATAATTTACATACATAAGTCTGTTCTCCTTGACGCTCTCTTTCCGCACATAGCATTAAATCTGTTATTTCAACTTGGATATAGAATACCAGTCTACTCAAAAAATAATTAATTATTATTGTAGACAGTTATAGTGTTACTCCGATTTTTTATACGAGTATAATGTGCAGAATTTACATAAAGCTTTAATATCTTATACTATAATATAGTAAAGTGTGACACTTAAAAGCATCATTTTGCATATCTTTATTGTGTTCTCTATCCGGATAATAGATAGAAATAAAAGGCCTATTCAGGTATAAGTGATATTTGCTATCGCTTTTATTATTCAAGCCTTTTGTGTGACTGAGTATGCATGTGGTAATGCCACTATTCAAACCTAAGCCGATGTCGCTACTACTATTGGGTATCATGATTTTTTAATTTTTGCACATCAAGTCATATATTTATCGCTACTCCTGCGCCTACCTACAGCCTACCCAGATTGCTTCCCTCTGCCTAGGTGATGTAGTGGTCAGCATGTACGGCTACACATCCGGAGGTCCTAGAGTCCCGCGTCGGGCCAAGTTTAATGATTGAGTCTTTCTGTTAATAAAGTCCCAATAACATCCCGGAGTTGAGAAGTTGGCAGGTTTTACCACTGTGTCTTGGAGAGCACGTTAAGCCGTCGGACCTACGCCTAAGCTCCCACTGATCGTGTTGAATTATCGTTCCATCGAAATATCAAAGTAAAAGGAATAGAGAGTACACTTATGTCTGCGCATACACTTGTACACTATGATTTCTCCTGCGCCGTTGTGTCATCATCATCCTCATTCAAACCTCATACCAAATATCTGTCATCAAAAACCCTTCGCAGCATGTTTGGTAAATATTAAATATAGGCAGCAATGCCGCAAAGGATTTATCACTTTTTAAAACAAAAACAAACATATAAAGTAATCAAAATCTCTTTAACCTACAAAATTTAAGTACCTATTACTTATCGTTAAAAAAAACAACTGTCTAATAATTTAAAAAGGCTGATGAACTGAAATGACTGAAGTAGTGTAAATTATTATAACAAGATATTTGTATATAAAAACAGTAAATCATTATGGCGTTCCTTATGCTTTTTAACCGACTTCCAAAAAGGAGGAGGCTATCAATTAGTCGGAATCTTTTTTATTCTTAATATATTCGTATAATGTGCTGTTTATTACTATGATAAGCCATTAAAACATCATTTACTGCATTCTCCATAAAAAATAATTATGTAGTGTAGTCAACTATATTAAGAGAAAAGTATTGTGTGATTTATAAGTATAAAGAAAAATAACGAAAAATAAAAATAATATATAAAACATAGAATTTATTAAATTTTATTCATTATTTACTTACAAAGTTAATTTACAACTACGAACAGAATTTCAGTCTTCCATATATTTAATTACGTTACTTTTATTCGTATTTATTACTTATTATTGGAATAGGAATATGCTTCACAATCTCTCGAGGTACCGGGTAAGGATGTGGCACTTTCACTTCATAGGGCTCTGGCACCGGGACGAGGACTGGCCTAGGTACTGGTACATTCACTTTCTCCACCACAGGAAATGGTTGGTGCTTAGTGATCCTTACTTCTTTGTGAATTACAATAGGTGGTCTTTGCTGGTTGTAGCGTTCAGCTTCGGAAGCCACACCCTGTTTCTCTGCATTAGAAGCTTCCCTTAAAATACTTTCGATTTCTTTTTGAATTTTCGATTTCTGTTCTTCCTGGTTCCTAGACACGGATTGCCATTGGATTACCGGCCTTTCATTTTCGTTAGACGCTTCTGATTTTGATTTTTCATTCCTAATAGTAGATAAACCTTTTAGTTGAGCGCGGTTGTGATTTAAAATGCGGTTCCAATGTTGTTCTAGTTGCTCTTGTAAAAGAGCTTCTTCTTGTTTCTTAGCAGACTCTCGGTTGAATTGGATCCATTGGGATTCTTCGCGTTCTCGTTCTTGTTGGCTTTTAATTCTTTGTTGTTGCTCTTTAACAATTTGCTCTGAATAAAAGTTGTAAGCATCTCCACTTTCATTTTGATTCTCAAAAACAGGCTTGCTTTTAGAATAGTAAGCTTCTTGTAGCTGCTCTCTAGGCTGTTCTGATTCTAATGACTTGAAGTACTGCAACCATGCTTTTTGTTGTTGTTCGTCATTGTAATCTTGAACAGACAATTGTTGTTCTTTTTGGTTTTCAGCGATTGACTCTTTACTTTCTGCACTTTTTGCTGCTTGCAAAGACCTTATTTCACTAGGTGTAAGATATAAAATAACTTCTCGGGTTGCATATCTTTTATTAGGACTTTTAGATGACAAATCTGATTCTTTTTGAACTTTGGGTCCAGCGTTTAATTGCTGTGCAGCACTGAAAGCCACTAAAGCTATGAGCAAATATATCTGAAAAGAAAAAAGGTTTTTATATAAATATCTGCTATCTTGTACCTCTAATTATATGTCATGTTGTAAAATAGATATTTAAGAATACAAAAGATTTGTATTTGTAAAATGCTTTTAATGAGATCATTCTATACTTAACACATAAATACTCACAGAAGACTGCATCATTGTAGCTTACGACGGCACTCTTCGATGGGTGTAGATGGATATCTGTTGTAATTTTGCGATTTGACGACTTTTTTATACTCACGAAATCGAAAAATTTTCATAACAACTCCATCTAGTTTCGATATGTTATAATTAGAATAAATTAGTTATGTTTCAATTTTCTAAACTTGCGCAAGTCTCAAAATTTGTTTATTTTTAGCAAACTTAAAATTTAAGAAAGAATATTTACAAAATAATTTGTTTTTTATTAAAAATAAATAATATTTGATTTAAATAGAGGAAATAATTTATGCACATACATAATGTTATGACTCAGTCAATCTTCATGGCAGAGTATACATATAGTATAACATTACTATATTACAAGTTTTATATAGTTCTTGTAACAATAATACTAAAAATAGCTAAGAAATACATAAGTATATAAAATATAAAGGATAATTATATAATAAAAATTTAAATATGCATTTAATATTCAAAATACGGTTATTAAGTACTAAATATAAATCTCACTAAAACGTACTCACACATGTAGGTACAATTTATAAGTATTTTGTTCTTGGGTATTTCTCAGTAAACTGGGCAACTCGCTGTCTCAGATAGATATCACATACATCTATCATAATATTATATACTTCGTAATGAATTATAAAAGAGCATTCCCTATACTATCTGTGCCCAGTGCAAAATATCCTTATAAATGTATTTTACTATATTAAAAAGATTTTTGATGTACTTAGTAGACCATCCCCTGATATGTAACAATTGCGGCATTTTTACTTTAAGGTCCTAATTAATACAAAAAAGTTTTATCAATAAAATTTGATGTTTAAATGTAAAATGTTGAATGTTTTTTAGATAGAACTATTCCACATTTTTATTGCATGTTTGTAAAAACCTAAAAAAATTAATTGAATGCGGTTTTATCATATTGAGAACAGTCCACCTGTTCATATTTTGAATTACACAGCAAGTACTCTAAGGCTTAACCATCTACGTTAATAAATGAAATACAACGTAAGCGACCTTAAGTTGCCACCCATGGTACCAGAAGCACCTTTTCGCCAGTTTTCTTAGTGCTACATGACTGTCGATCCGAAAAAGTCACTTGAATATATACAATTTTATTATTAACTATTTAAATATTTAGTCCCCTAATAGCTTTTTTCAAAATACAAGCAAAAATGTTGCCCAGACACTTTTGCTACAAAAGTTTCCCAGTTTACAAATAACATTTCCTTTATAATCAACTATTAAAATTATTAAGTTACATACTAGAATAAAATATAATTATGTACTAAATAAACTGAAATATTACGATACCTTATTAGGTATCGTAATATTTCAGTTTTTCAGTCATAATTAATTCAAGAAATTCTTTTTTTTACTTTATTTTGTCTAAAGTAGAAAATTAATAATATTGTAAATGATTGATAATATGATACAGTTTTATTACATACTAATAATATCTCGTAATTTTGATCGCCAGTACCAACACTAATAAATTATAATTTTTACTCTTGTCATGAGTATAAGAATCTACATACCATGTGTTACATGTAACACGGTAATATTATGCTTTACATTACCGTGCTTGTAGTGTAAAAAATCTTAGCTGAACAATTTTGATAAAACTTTTATCTTCTCGCATCGAACGAGTTGTAGCTTCATTCAAATTAAGCGCAAACGTTGGGCGTAACTATTGAGCAATAAATCCATGTTGTAAATATTATATAAACAGTGAACACCCATGAATCTATTTAAATTATTTTAAGAAATCAACAGGTTTTAGACTTTACAATATGTTTGTATGTTTAATTGCAGTTTATTATACCTTTTTCAGATTTATCAGTTTTATCTCTGCAAAAAATATAGTTTAGAATTATACTATATCTGAAGCTAGTCATATAGAAATCCATTAATCAGTGTTTAAGTATAGTTATTTCTGGTTAATTAAACCTTTCTGGTAAAAAGTTTATCTGAATCCTTTAAAGAAACTCCATTTTAACTTATGAGGCTATTAGAATTTTTAATCTTAATCGACGTTATTAGTGTATTCGGAACTAAAAACTTACATTTGAAACTACTTATTTCATTTCAACTTCTTATTGTTTTTTTGGTGAAATCGAAACCCCGCGATAAAGAGCGTCCGGAATCGAAAGTATTTAAAAAAACAAATTAAGAAATGTAAGTGGGTCATTAATTTTTTATCGTGTTTTTAAACTGAAAGCTATATAATAGAAAATATTTTTTAAACATTAAAAAATATTCCTCAAAAATATACAATTAAATATTTGTCGTTTAAAATAATTATATTCATCAAATTATCAGGTTAATAAATGTAAAAAAAATCGTCTGATCGTCGTTAGAATACTCATCATTTTACTAAATGTTACCTATTTGTTTGGGTATAAAAAACATTATAAGAAACTTTATTTGAATATTGTGCTGAATAACCTAATGATACGAATGTTATAAAAATACCTCTCATGTCTTTTTCCATATTAAATAAATGTAGAATTTTATAGATATACTGCGTACAGGTTGTTTTTTTATAAAATCTGCATCAGAAGGACAGAAATCGTGGAGTAAAAGCTAATTTTGGTTTTGTTAGGAATATATTTCATACTCGTTAATATTTGCATAACCATTGAGCAATTACTATGAGAAGGTAATTAATTCTCTTTATTCACAAGCAACATTATCACGAAATTTCTCCAGACTCTAGAATCTAGATAAAACTTAAACAGAATGAAAATAAAAAACAATGTGTCTTAAAACAATGAACTTTATTTAGTCAATATATCGTTCACATATACACAAAAGCTTATACATAAACAATTAATTTTGTTGATACAGGTATCCTAATTTCATAATTTAAAGTTTTTGTTTCCACCTATTTAAAAGCTGCAGCTTTCGCTGTGGTTTGGTCTATAACAGTGTTGTTTTACCTGTAATTTTAGACATTATTTTATTTAACCCAGTCATAAGGTAACTTATATCAAAGATCATATAATACTTCTTCTTCTCCCTGCCCATTTCCCAAATCACTTGGGGTCGGCGCAGTACATCTTCAGTGTACTGCTGATAGGATTTGGCAAAAGTTTTACGACCGGCCGCCTTAAGATCATATAATACTATACTAGCTTATATCTAACAATTTATAAACAGAATAATTGGTTATTACTACTAATTACTTTTTTTAAAACAACAATATTTTTCTTTTATATTATTACTATTGTTTGATTGCAACTTTATCAACTCAATATATAAGGGATCCGCTCTTAAGAATTGTAACATGATGACTAAATTTTTAACCTCAATATTCACATAACATTAATAGGGGTTATAAAATGCAAAAACATTTTTTCAAATTCACTTTTACAGAATAGCGCGTTCAACAAGCAAACTCTTAGGTTTTATAATATATTAATTAAAATTTCATTTATATGGAGTACGTACGAGTTTTTGGTGATGTTACTGCAGCTGTAGTTACGGCTATGGTAGTAGTAGTAGTAGTAGGTGATGGCGCTTCTTCTATAAAAGATTTACAAAACTATTAATATATATGGATATTGTTAAGGAGAAAATGTAGATCTGTACTTTGAAGCTTATGCATTTTTTTATTTATTTATTTATATAATTTTATATATATTATATTATTACCTGAAGTTGTTTTAGTGGTCTCCGGCTGAGTAGATGTTGATTTGTCCCTGAACCACGATAAAGGTAAGTAATTTGTACAATTCAAAAAGAATAAGTGCCAGCCACAGCAACGCGACTTAGCGACTTAATATAAAAACAGATTACCCACTTACCTTATTTCTAATATAGTTTTTGTTATCATTTCTCCATCGGCAGAGAATACTGCTTGGTAAACACCTTCGAATGTTGGGGTATACTCAGTGATACGAACTAAAATAGCTGAGGGCGTTGTCTGAAAAGGGATTATTAGATTTACATACATTCTTTAGTTTGTTGAAATTTAACTTTAATTGTATTTGTAACTTTTTTCACTTTAAAATTTAAACAAGTAAATACAAGAAAACACCAGAAATAAGTTCGCGTATCACCATTATAATCGCATAATACTTATAGACTGATTAAGTCAAAGGTCAAACCCAACTTCCCAGATCTTTCAAAATTTCTAACAACCATCTCATATCCAGGTTACCATATAATCAATAATGTGAAGAAAGCCTTTCAAACGGATGAGTCCTTATCAAATAAAAATAATATTGATAAAAGTACAATTGTAAAAGTAAACAATATTTTGCTGACGTCGACTTGAACTGATGATGATGATGGAACTAGAGTGTGGATGAGTACACTAGAATAAAGCTATCATACTTTAGGGCCATTTGATTCATTTTGATCAGTCTAACATTGGTCAAAAGCGTATAAAATAAATTATCTCGCTAGCTATTGCGTAATAGAGGAAGAGCCCGGAACGCCAGACTTTCGTCATTTTATAAACGCTGAAAGTTTGTCAGCGCATGCTCCCAACACAGATAAGAACGATGGACCATTATGAAGTTCAGGCTATGGTGGCTTTGGCAGGTACACGGTACTAAAGGTATGTAAAATACCGATCTAAAATCGTCAAATAATAAAGTGTGATTTTTTGGTATTACCTTCAGAATATTATTAACAATCACGTCATTCAATGCCAGGCACTTAACATCGTGGCAAACCCTTGCCAGACACCCTTTTTATGGAATCATAATTCTACTTACGTTATAGTATAAAAGCTGATTTTTATATATAATACTTGGGTAATAATTAGATAACTTATAAGACTGCTGGCATAGCATTTATTACACACCATGAAAAATGTTCCAAACAAGTTGGGAGGCATTTCTAAGAAAATGTTGCAAATCACCAAATTTGAAGCGCTAAGAATTGACTTTATTTTTGATTGATAATTTTTGATGGGTTAAGTATTGTTAATGTATTGGTGTAAGTTTTTTGTGTACTGACGTTGGAGATCCTAATAA